AAAAAAAAAAAAAAAAAAAACAAGAAGGAAGGGAAGGGATTGAAAAAAAAATACAGACCTTTGGTAACAGTCCCTGGAAAATCAAACGTCGCGCCCGAGCCCCGCGCAGGCCCTTGCGGCCCAGCGTGTTCCACGCGCCTTCGCGAATTCCAACAATGCGCGGTTCGCGACTTTGGGGCCAGAAGCCTTCTCTTGACTCTCAGTTTGTCGCATTTCGCGCTCCTGCGAACTCCAGAAAAAAAAACCACAACGTGCTCGCGACTTGTGTTGCGCCGGTCGCGACTTTTTGAGCCAGAAACTCTCTGACCTCTCATTGACTATTCCCTAGGGCTGCGCTCGCCAGACTTTCCAAAAAAGCGCGCTCGCGACTTACCTCTTCGTGTAACTTCCCGCGCTCGCGACTTGGCATCGCGCTTCGGCGACTTGCTTTGAACATTCTTTGATCTTTCATTTCCTATGCAATTAACTTCTTGCTCATGCATGCATGCATCCAAATCAGTTGTAAAGCAAAAATATCAACATAAGAAACATGGATTAAAACAAACATTGTAAGCATTTATATGGTGTAAATCCAACATCAATATGATGAACTATGAAACGTTTGTGAAAGCCATTCTATGTGCTATTGTGTTACATTGTTGACATGCTACTCTTAAGCTCCATTGAGGTTAGGTAGAAAACCATGTAGATAAGGGCCTTATGTCGCGACATAGATAGGCATCTGCTTCCCCATACAGTTTGGACCGTGCGGTCAAATCCGGTTAGGGGCAACCAAAACGGAACAAATATTGGCATAGGGCGAATCCGGTTCGGGGCCTATACATACAAATTTTCATCCCAGTTTTCATACAGTTTTATCTTATCACTTAGTTTCACTATAACCTTATGGAGCTATACAGTTATATCACGACTACCAAATTGCATAATCATACAGTATACTAAACAGCAAGAAAGATCAATTAAGGGAAACGAAAGTATCATGATATGTGTGCTACATTCCATGTGGAGTAATGTTTAGTTCTACATATGTATGGTGGCTTATATGTTTCTTCATTCATGTGATATTCACTGAGTTTATCAAAGTTGCAGAGTTCATACAACATAAAGAACATCCAGGTAAGATATATGAAGTATCATGTTATATATGCTTACAAGTTTATTTTTATTAATTCTTAAATGAGCCATAAGTTATGAAATGTTGTTATCATACCTTATAATGCTTGTTGACTAAAGTGCAATCAGTCATACAACATAAATGACAGCAAGTAAGACAATGGAATATAATGTTATGTATTCATACATGTTTATTGGTTTCATTCACATCAAGGCAGCATATGAATAGAGGTAACAGCAGGTTAAAGATCATGATAGCATCATAATGCGTGATTTAAGTTCATGTAATGCTTTATGAGAAATTAGAACTCAATTATTGATGTTTATGAATTAGAAATTTAATTCGTTGCTGTAAAGAGACATTTATGTTGAATTTACTGATTCTATGAGTATCAATGCTTTATGAAATTTGGTATTTAAGTTTAAGTTGCCATCGCACTTTCTTTAGTATGTGAAATTAATGGCACCAACTGAGTTTTTAATACTCAGCGCGTCGATTTTTCATCAAAACGGCAGGTTTGGAAGATTCGTTGGTTTTGCTACTTGAAGACTGAGGAGTCCTATCAAAGCAGAAGTGCTTAATTTGGTCATAATAAGATTGAGAGATGTATAAATTATAGACTTATGGCATGTATTAAAATTTAATGGCATGTATATATTCTTTTATTGTTTAGAGCCTTTATGTGATTGTAATATAAGTGAAACATGTAATTACTTTTGGTGTAAGTAGTTGAGATAAAGAATAATTTTATGAAATGATTGAAGATGAAATAGTTTAACTATAGTTGGTTATGATTAGGTATGAAAAACTTGATATAGAATTCTGTATGAAATTAATTGTAGATATTAATAACTTTTTGAGGATTGTATAACAATATGTAAAGATATATATTAGGGTTATTGTGTTATGATGATTCTTGGAGAATGTTGGGAAGTTTAGAAGTGTTAACTGGAGTGTTTATATTCTTATTTTGCATACAGTAATGATATTAGCATGACATGGAGGTATAAGTTTCACCAGATTGTAGCGTCCTCGGCTCGGTTCATTCGGGGTTAACCCGGGTGGACCGGGAAGGGGTGTTACCATCTGGTTCATGTCCAAGGTTCCATTAACCTGAAGGCTCCAGTCGAACCTACACGGCATTTTGGTGCGCTCAGCCGGTCATCTGGTCACGTCCAAGGTTCCATTAACCTTGAAGGCTCCGAGTCGGACAATAATCGCATTTTGGGGCGTCAGCGGTCATGCTGGTCACATCCAAGGTTCCATTAACCTAGAAGGCTCCAGTTGGACTACATCGGCGTTTTGCGGGCGTCAGCGGTCATCGGTCATCGTCCAAGGTTCCTATTAACCTGAGGGCTCGTCGGACTTACATCGGCAATTTTACGCGTCAGCGGTCATCTGGTCACAGTCCAAGGTTCCATTAACCTAAGGATCTAATCAGACTACATCGGCGTTTTGAGCGTCAGCGGTCATTCTGGTCACGTCAAGGTTTCCATTAACCTGAAGGCTCCTGTCGAACTTACATCGGCATTTTGGGCCGTCAGCGTCATCTGGTCACGTCCAAGGTTCCATTAACCTGAAGGCTCCAGTCGGGACTACATCGGCGTTTTGGGCCGTCAGCGGTCATTCTGGTCACTTGTCCAAGGTTTCCAAAGACTCGACGGTGGTGCCACATTTCGGTTGCCCAGAGGCACCGTCCTAAACCTACAGTATAAATCAAAAAATCATCATTATGAAATAGAAGTGACTTATTATTCACAATTTTAGCAAGTAATAGTATTTTTGTTTTGAAAATGATTTTAGGAGATCCTAAACAGAAACCTGCCAAGAAGTTTCCCCTTAAAAAATAGAAGTTTGCCAAACAATTATAATACAGAAGCAACTCCAAATTCAAACTCCCAACCCCATCAAACTCCAATACACACAATAGCACTTCTATAATTTCATACTCCATAGTTCCTCAATAACATTATAATATTCATCACTCAATACATTCATTTAAATATATCAAACTTTACTAATGTTCTAACCATTAAATAAGTCCAAGTTTATCTCACCAATATATATACAAACCAAAATATTTACAATAACATACTTAAGTTTATAAATGAAATAATAACAGTCTCCTAAAAATGTAATACTTATACATGCCATAATGGGTGTGTAAGTTACAAAAAAAATACTAACTAACTACCAAAATGATCTCTTCAGCCTGATGCCTACTTCTTCAGGTCTTTTAAGCAGCAAGCGCAATCTCCAACCTGCGCGTGATAAAATCAAAACGCGCTGAGTATAAACTCAGTGGTGCTCATAAAACACAACAAACCAATGTTGTGATGACAACATACTTAAAAACAATCATTTTATATACATAAAATCATTTAAATTTGAACATGCAGTACATAATGACGACCAAACACATCATGCCTTCGAAATTCATTTGACCATCATAAATAAGTTTGTGGTAAATTAAAGAGTTTATTAACATAATGTATCTCATTTTTTTTTCGCTTCCCTTAAAAATATTTGTATAAGGGCTCACAATACACTTAGGAGAAAAAGAAGCCAGATAAGTTTTCAATAGCTTATTTCATAATGGGCCCTTAGGTTGCCAACCTTTTCAATAACATATAGAGCGCGTCCGCCCTACATAAGACACCCACGTGCCTAGCATATGATCATAGCTTCTTATCATAATGGCATCAAATGCCGAGCATGCTCTCATTACATAATAAAAATCTAAATCATGCATCAATACAAACCAAAGTATATTTAGAGCCATAAACATTTCTCATAAAATTCATTTTCTTTAGTCTTCTTCATAATAAAAAACCTTAATTTAACTTAAGTATATTCCATAAAAATTCTCATTACTTAAACAAAATATGACTTAACATAGAAAAAATTTCCAGCATAAAAATAACATGGACCTTTGCTGTGTTTTTAAAACATAACTGGAGCTATGAGTCTCAAATTTAATGAATTAGAGTCATTAGAAAGATAAGACAAATTATACAAATTGTTATGAAGGAACGACATTGCCCAGATCAAATATGGAAGATAACAAAACAAAGCTAGGAAGACCAGACTGAACAGACCAGACCTGATTCAGGCAGAACAGTTCCATTGTTTTCTTTGAATTCCTACTAAACCCCACAATCAAATCAAAACCAATCTAGACGAGAGACTTTCTCAAAGACACAGGCAACAACTTTTATATTATAGTGGTACAAATGGGCACTCAATTCAGTGATGCATGTGGGCCGACACAAACAGAGTCAGTTTTGGGTGTTTCAGCCATAAGTTGGTTATATATCTCAAATTGGACACAAGAGGATGGTTAAGAAAGCTAAAGAGATAGACCTACAGCTTTTTATGAAAGGACT